AGCAACCTCAAACTCTTGGGCTTAAGCGATTCTCTTGCCTCAGCCTCCCAAGTAGCTGGGACTACAGGCGCCCACAACAACACCCAGCTATTTTCTGGTTGCAGCCATCATTGTTGTTTGGCAGGCCTAGGCTGAATTCGAACCCGCCAGCTCAGGTGTATGTGGCTGGTGTCTTAGCCGTTTGAGCCACAGGCGCCAAGCCAAGTTCATACATTTTCTAAAAGTTCCATGTTTTTTTTCACGGCTTCCATGGCAGTAAAAGCATCCTCTTTACTGATAGGATGAGGGAGACAAGATCAAAGGTGAACACACCATACGCAGTCATTTTTAAGTTAGAGACTACCTACAGTTGCAACCCTCATGCTTCTCTATCCCCTTTTCCTCCCTTTTCTTTTTATTTTTTGAGACAGAGTCTCACTTTGTTGCCCTTGGTAGAGTGCTTTAGTGCTATGGTTGCTCACTGCAACCTCAAATTTATGGGCTCAAGTGATCCTTTTGCTTCAACCTCCCAAGTAGCTGGAACTACACATGCCAGTCACAGTGCCTGGCTAATTTTTTGAGATGGCGTCTCACTCTTGCTCAGGCTGGTTTCAGACTCCTGAGCTTAGGCAGTCCATGTGCCTCTGCCTCCCAGAGTGCTAGGATTACAAGTGTGAGCCACTGCATCTGGCTGGGTTTTTTGTTTTTTATTTTGAGACAAAGTTTTACTCTTTTGCCTGGGCTAGAGTGCAGTTACATCAGGATACCTCACTTCAGCCACTATGTTGCTCAGGCTGATCTTGAACTCCTGGCCTCAAGCTATCCTCCCACCTCAGCCTCCCAAAGTGCTAGGATTACAGACATAAGCCACTATGCCCAGCCTCTATTCATCGCATTTGCAGAATGCATAATGTTTTTGCAGAATACAAACTATGACATGTTCCTAACATGATAGGGTAACATTGTTACATCAACCAGCCATCATTTATAAGCATTCTGTAGCTGTTTTACATTCAATTCTTGCTTTGGTGTACATTAAACATATTTTTATTCATTTTGTTTGCATTGTTCCACTTTAATACTGAATACTTCTATTTATTGCCATTATACATCCTTCATTCATTTATTAATATAAACCAGAATTCTGAACTAAGAATAGTTTCTGGAACTTAATTATTTGATGATCTTATCCTATACAAGGGAGTAAAAATATCATGTGAAGTCATCTTATTGAAAGGCAACTGTGACATACTATTACGGTTCTAAAGTTGCTGAGCATATGTGTGGCAGAACCACTTCTTAATTATAGAGAAATGAGAAACTGCAACCCCTGTATAGTCTAGGCTTTATTGGCATGTACTCTCAGCCTGTGCAATGACTTACCAGATCTTTTAAAATGTGTTTTATACCTCTTGTCAGCCAATACATCATGTCCCTGTCTTTGTAATCAATTTGATGACAACTTCTGGTTTTTTGGTGCTATAATACCATTTCGTAGGGAAAAAAATTCTATTCATTATCTATGGAAATTTTTAATAGGCTGGAAAATGCTTATATAGAGGAAACTATATAATCCCCTTTTGATTAATTCTTTATATTTTGTCCACTGTATTTTAACAGGAATGATAAAACGGAATTGGGAATATATATGTAGCCATAATAAAGAAAAAACGAAGATCCTAGGAGAGAAAAATGTTGATCCCAAATGTGAAGACAGTGAGGACAAGTTTGACTTTTCAGTGATGTCCTATAATATACTTTCACAAGATTTACTGGAAGATAACTCACACCTTTATAGACATTGCCGGCGGCCAGTATTACACTGGAGTTTTAGGTTTCCCAATATTCTGAAAGAAATTAAACATTTTGATGCAGATGTAAGTGTAAAATAGTACCAAAATTTTTCATATAAGAAAAGGTTGAATTAAATGTTTCTTTTGTGCATTTGTGAATTAGATGATTTTCTTCATTTTGTTTATGGGGTAAGGAGGGAAGATGTTTAAGAATAATAATGGAATAGTTCTTAACAAGTTCTTAATTATAATCTTATGATTATAAGTATAAATAATCCTCTAATTTCGAAAAAGATACAAAAACTTTTAAATAATGGTCAATTTTGAGATGGGATTAGCAACATATCATTCAGTAAATATTTCCTTTGATTTGAAATTTCAGTAATGAATACAGTTTTATCAACATGATGGCATTTCAAAAATAATCCTTCTTGGCTCGACGCCTATAGCTCAACCGGCTAAGGCGCCAGCCACGTACACCTAAGGTGGCGAGTTCGAATCCCCAGCCCGGACCCGCCAAACAACAATGACGGCTGCAACCAAAAAATAGCCGGGCGTTGTGGC